TAGGCAATACTAGGCGCTAGTATGATATGCTACCAACCGATAGGTTACACTAGTATGTCCTATAAATTTATAGTTCATAGTTACCTATATTTGTCGGAAAATTTCCAAGTTAACAGTTACTGTAAAGTGTGATTACATTGACTACTTCTTGCTGCTACGCTTCGCCGCTGCCGCTACTTTGCGCTTGGCTGCCTTTTGTTTGCACGTCAATGACTTCGTTGCAACGGGCGGCGCCACTTCCTCATTTTGGCTTTCCATCGCTTCTTGTTCCGTGACACAACGCAGGGCATGGTCCACAAAGAGCTGACAGACACCTCCACCACGCTTCTTGACAAGGGAGTCCAACATGAGAATGCTAACAACATCATTCGAGATATTATGCTCACGCATCAAATCAAATACAGAAGATTGTGTGGGACGTTCAAAATGCGGCGAAGAGTGGAGCACTATGCCAGTGCGCCGTGTGTACTCGTCGTGGTCTTCGTCACACATATCCGCGAACATGCTCGGACGGTACGGGGCAATCGATGGGTTCTTGGTGAAGTGCACATTGGTGTAATGTGACTTCTTGTTCGTATCCGCGACGAACTTGTCCTCGCAGTCCACGACAGGACATACTACACGCTTCTTGCTTGGGTTAGCCATTCGATTCTGACATCCTGTTCCAACACGTACGAAGAGATTGTGAGCGCTACAACTCAAGCTTGGCATGACGTAGACCTATGGTCGTTGGAACGCAATTTCATCACGCTGCAGTGCTGCCTTCACGAGACAATCATGTGTGGCGGCGACAACTCCTACAAGATCCCACACATGAAGAAGACGGCGCTCAAGAAGTGTGGCCGCTACCTGAGTCTGTGGCATGTAGCCAGGACGTATTCGACGCTGGGTGTGCCTTGTTGGACCAACAAGACTTGGACAGTATCATTCGCTCCAAACCGCCGCTGACTTGGATGTTTGTGACATCTTTACTGCTCTTGAATCACTTGACATCAACGATGACTACGTCGCATAGGAGTGTAGGTTTTGCATAAGTAATCAAATCTGAATGAGTTTCATTATCGCGGACGACTATTTTAATAAAATAACTTTATTATTATTATTATTTGGTCATTACTATGTTGAGGACAATATATTTAAAATATTATGGGGGTCTGTCTTTTGGCTGGTTTATTGGCGTCCTTCAATTTCGTTCTGGCTGGTTTATTCCCGTCTGGAGATATTAATACTAGTAATACTATACGTATGGGCACAGTTCCGTGCCACAACTTTGATAGGTCAATTCGGTCGATATTTGACCTATTATAGCCAATAGAACGCGTCTTTGAAATTCTGATACTCGAGGCTGCATTTTTGCATCCGGATAAAATGGCACGGATTTGTTTTCAGCCTATCGAGATTTGAATATTCAAGGCCATTTTACTTCCAAACTAATGCGAAATTCGATACAATTTCAAGTCACACAATCTGCATTTTTCCTCGTGATTATAAACACTATTATAATAGCAAATTGGACGTCAAGAAGATCTCCAACTGAGGGCCTCTAAATGTGGCACGGAATTCGGCCCTTACGTATAGTACTGAGCTTACAGAAAATCTGGATGGTATCCGTGTGGTTATCCGGATGAAATCCGTATATTTATCCGAACATCCGGATACTCGGACTTCCTGTTAATACAGTGTAAGCCATGTTGTAAGGCGTATTTCTAATCCGGACACTTGTTGGGGGGAAAATAATTGTAATTTAAATTAATCGTAATTGTACCACGGAATAATTTATTTTCTGTCCATACCAATAATAAATTGGTGGACCATATTGACCAATAATTGTTTAATTGTATTCAACCTCCCCCCTTCTCATTACTACTGTACGTTTGGGCGACCGGGAGGCCAACTTTTTAACCCCTTGCCAGAATTTGCTCATTCTTTTTTTGATCTCTTCGTCCTGAGTTTATGAATCTGAGTCCGAGGGTGCAATGCTTGAATCATAGTTCGGCCCACCACAGTCGCAACAACGTTTTACAGAATACGCTGAAAGAATTAAAATGCGCATAATTCTATTCTGATGTCGTGGAAATTCTTTAAAGCAGCATAGTAATACTATTTTGTGGTGATCTACTATAATAGTTGAGCTACGGTAGGTAACATACTAAATGACTGATGCAACAAACGACATTCAAAGATAGCGTTTGACGCAGTAGCGCAACGGTTAGTGCGACGGCATCCAAGTCGATTGAGGAAGGGGGCCGGGGTTCGAGCCCCGGCCAGTGTCAAACTTTTCCTTCGGAACCAGTCAATCACATTAATGAAAATATATAAAGTATATACAAAAGATAAGTCATAACTAGTAATAATTTTGATGTCATTATTGTATACCGCTTACGCTTTGGGCGCAGTCTCCCTGTGAATCGTCCAATTACTCCGCGATTCGTAGTGCACACTACTTTTGTAGTATCGTCAAGTCCCTCTATTGATTTTGTATGGTAGAGTAGTCCTGTTTTGAATATTACTTCAATTGATTTAAGTATACTACCTCCGATTGGAAATGAATGTAGTACAATAAACAGTACTGAACGTATACTATGTAACGTTAGGGCCTGTTCCAAGTAGGTATTTTTATCAAATGAAAAAGTGGTTCCAAGTACAGTTTCCTACTTTTTACCTCTTTTTCTGCGATTTTTCACGCAACTCCATACCAAAAGTAGAAAAAGATGTCCTTGATGTCTATTCCTAAATCGTGAAAAAAAATAGGTATATCGATTTTGATTGCCTCATGCTATTTCTGAAAACTACTTGGAACGTCCCCTTACTGCATATTCAGCTGCACACATCTTGAAGGATTATTATTGCGTATTTCGGACGTTACTTCACTTGAATAACATATTCAATGCACTGTACGTATACTTGGTAGCATTCAACTGCACAAATTTTAAAGGATTATTATGACGTATTTTTAATGTTACTGATTAACATACACAATGTACAGAACTTTTCGAATACTATACTGTATATTCAACTGGAAATATCTTAAGATTATTATGACGAATGTTGAATGATACGTAGTTTTCTTGAGTCCAAGCTCTTTAGTTAGATTTAGATAGAAGGGAATTAACTGTAACTGTAAAATGATTGGAATTGAAGTAATAAATTTGTAGAGATGGCCACTCCAAACAGTGATCATTGATATGCCGAAATATAGATTTTATTAAAGTATTGGAAATGCTTCGAGCAACGATACAAATATCTATTTATAAAAGCAAATAAGTATCATACGTTGAAAGTACCTCTGAATAAGGTTGAAATTCTATAACAAAATTCCCCGAGTAATATCAACTAACCAAGGGTTTCATTCCTTCGGTAAATAGTTTTATCCAATCATATCAATTTTGTCATCCTATTGGGCAAGACGTTTGGCATTATTAAATCATTGATTGTTTATGCTATCACCGAATGGGCCACTGAATTTGTTTATACCTTTGTACACTAGTATGGATAATTCTCCTATAAATCAGATATAGCTTGATATAATTATGAGGAAACACAGTGAAAATCAATCATCATAGTACTTCTTTGCTGTACTATTAATACCTACTAAGTAGTAGTACTACGTAGTAATTGTACGGTACTATTAACTATTAATAGTAGTACTAATACTGTATTACTACTGTAGTAGTACCTTGTACTGTACTGTAGTATATACAGTGTCAAATATCGTCCTTTACAGTATCAGGTACTGTTCTGTAAACAGTACAGCACTACAAAGTACTGTACTGTAGTACAACGTAGTATACGCATAGTAATCATTTACTGTAAGCTTACTCTATGCGGTATCAAATTTTGTCCTTCTACTACTCCTAGTAGTACTCGAAAAAGTACTGGCATCATGCTCTCATCGGATGTACCAGTCCTTCCTTTGAATGCAAGGTTAACTGAAAATTACTCCATTCTGTACATCCGCGTGGACTACGTACTTCACTTGATTAGCATATACTAGTACAATCTACTGTACGTACAATACTATGTACTGTAGTGAACTCAGGAAGAGTACAGTTGTACTTTACAGAATATCAGTCAAATTAGACTACTGTTGATTACATTCCAGAATTACTGTAATTACTAAACGATGGTCATAAATAGTGCATTGAATATCTTGAAATAGCTTAATATGACGCACTTTGACAGTTACGTTGAACTTGATTAAAGTATGTATTGATTATTTTGACGCATTTGGGACGGTTGCTTAGACTTGATTAAAGTATGTGTGCACAGATTGTATACCGCTTACGCTTTGGGCGCAGTCTCCTCGTGTGTTCATCGTTTACGTCTTCTAACGTTAACGGTATTACCACTATACTGCAATGCACTACTACTACGTAGTACGACCCCCATACCTTAATGTTAGTTAGATTTACCACTTACGTACAACTTTTATCCGTTTAAAAGGTACTGAAATTTTTACTGTACCACCTACTTTGATCCAAACCTTTATATGTAGATAATTGTACTACAAATCAAACACAGTGAAAATCAATCATCATTCCTGACAGTTTTTGTCCCATAACTTCAATGGTACTCTAATTAGTCCTTTCTAATGAGTGAATTCAGTTCCGAATGAAATTCTCTATTTGGAATTATACAATAGTCCAGGAAATAACCTATTTGGCCGAGGTACACTTGTTAAAAGTTCAAAAGAGCCCAATTAATCAATCATTTCCGTACGGACGTAGTGCTTCGTACTACTGTACCGGTAGTACTACAGTAGTGATGCTAACGTAAGCAATCATTGACTGGCCGAATTTTGATTATGTGTGTTTGGAGCTTATTTACATTTCTTAATGCAGTATTTACAAGCTCTCGTAGCTAGATAGTTTGTAGTCTGGATTTCGTTTGTATCACCAAGGCCTGTAGCTGCATGGTCGTAGCTACAACAATGACCTTTAGCTGCAAGATCGTAGCTACATTGATGTGTAGCTACAACGTCCTAGCTACCACACTTAGTAGTACTGCATGGTCATAGGTACGGTACCACCATTTGTTGTAGCTCCAAGATCGTAGCTACATGGATTTGTAGCTACAAGGACATAGCTACAACATTGATGTGTAGCTGCAAGATCGTAGCTACAAGGACATAGCTACAACATTGATGTGTAGCTGCAAGATCGTAGCTACATTGATGTGTAGCTACAATATCCTAGCTACCACACTGAGTAGTACTGAATGGTCTTGGGTACCACTATTTGCTGTAGTTCCATGGATTTGTAGCTACAAGGTCATAGCTACAACAGTGATGTGTAGCTGCATGATCGTAGCTACATTGATGTGTAGCTACAACGTCCTAGCTACCACACTAAGTCGTACTGCATGGTCTTAGGTACGGTACCACCATTTGCTGTAGCTCCAAGATCGTAGCTACATGGATTTGTAGCTACAAGGTCATAGCTACAACATTGATGTGTAGCTGCAAGATCGTAGCTACATTGATGTGTAGCTACAACGTCCTAGCTACCACACTAAGTAGTACTGCATGGTCTTAGGTACCACCATTTGCTGTAGCTCCAAGATCGTAGCTACATGGATTTGTAGCTACAAGGTCATAGCTACAACAGTGACCTGTAGCTGCATGATCGTACTGCGTAGTGATGTATACAATATAATGTACTGTACGTATACTATGTACTGTATGTTCAACTGTATATAAGGCATACAATGCACTGTACGCATTGCTATGTATGTACTATACCTGTCCTCAGGAAAAGTACAGTCGTACTATCAAGACTAATCAGTCAAATTAGACTATTGTTGATTACATTCCAGAATTACTGTAATTACTAAACGATGGTCATAAATAGTGCATTGAATATCTTGAGATAGCTTAATATGACGCACTTTGACAGTTACGATGAACTTGATTAAAGTAGGTATTGATTATTTTGACGCATTCGACGGTTACCTTGACTTGATTAAAGTATGTGTGCACAGACAAAAACATCGAAATCATCGCCGTGATCGCCCGAAATCTTCACCCTAACGCAGAGGAGACTGCGAACAAAAACAACATCTTGATCGCCCAAAATCTCTACCCCAACGCAGAGAGACTGCGAACTCCGAATGAACTCACAACAAACAAGTCTCGCCAGTCCACGTCGACTCCCAAGACCAGGAACGATGGCGCCATTCGCACCAATGACTGCAAGCACGTGCGTAGTCAAACACTTCGTCACACCTTGAATGATTCTGTTGCTCGTAGGACAACCAACGTCGTCACCAAGCGATGGGTCCATGAGACGAAGGTATGCTGATTCCAATCGCTTTGGTGTTGACGCACAGAACTTCAAAGGCGAATCACGTGGCAGACCAAGCGTGGCGACCCGATGTCGATGAAAGCAGTCGTCGACGTCCTTGTTCAGCGAGCAATCCCAGGCTCAGGACTGTTTCCGACCGGCCTTCCGGCATACCGCGTTTTCCAGTTAAGGCCCAATTCAGGTAGCACCCACCGTCGATAGTATCCCATTTCTTTCATCCATGCAATGGTAGACGTGCAGGTCATTTGGGAGAGAGCGTCGTGCATGAAGACCCAGTCATCAGCGTGCTTTGTTTTGGCCATGACGCGAGGCGATGCTTGTATGATGTGCTCGACCATGGTCGTAATACAAACGCTGCTTTTCATACCGGTCGACTTCACGATTTGGTCTCTCCACGTTGTGCCGAAAAGGGATTCGTAGGGATTGTCGGTCTTCTTGTGGTCGACCAAGCGGGGTACATAGCTTCCATGATTTGCCGTTTGTGCCGTGTGTTTGAACTTTTGCATGGAACGCAACGAGATTCCATGCAGTTGAGCAACGATGCCGGGTATCTCTTCGCTTGGTATATTTGCTATGTCTTGGACGGTTGTAATCCCGACCTTGGCCAGTTCATCGAGTAACTTCTTGCCAATACCCTTGAGTCTGGAGGCGCAATCATTTTCAAAAATGCCTAAGTAATATATTTTTGATTATTGTGTGTTTTGGAATTGCTGATGTGTTAGTTATACATTTGTAATTTACAACAAAGATAATTAAAGAAGTACCATCGTTGGTTGATCGATGCCCGGTCACCCAAGGTGACGAAACTCCAGGCAGCGCTTGAACACGACGGACTTCGGCGTTGATGTGTCGGTCCATTTCTTCAATAGTTAGGATCCATTGACCACTGTATACGAACGGAGTACACCGACGGCCAACCTTGGCTCCGCCGTCCAACTCAATGACAGCACATCCGAATGAGAAGCGTGCTTCTTCCGTGAACTTCATGTTCAAACACGACTTCTCTGGGCCAATGTCGCCGTCGGGATCGTACATTCCCGTGGCATTACGTGGAAAACGTACTTGGGACTTCCGCCCACCCGCTCCATAATCGCCAACCAGCACAGCTTTGTGCGTTTCATCTCACACAACCACTTGGGTGATTTCAATTGGCGTTAGTTGGGCTTTGTCCAGGTAAGGAGGGCAAGCACCATCGTTCCCGCTCCATATCCCCAATCGAGTGGCAAACTGCTGGGCATGTCCGTTACGGGCGATTGCCCAGGCAGAGTCTTGATCAGCATTTCCTTGCTTTTGGCGAACCAGTGGTGTCACAACAGGCTTCATGCGGAGTGAGGAGCTGTACACAGCTGACCGGCCGACGTGTACCTCGTTGACCGACTGACGATACTCGTTAACCATATGCGTTGCCTCTGTGACACTCATCCCGTGTTCCAGGCAGTCGGCAACGATTTGGCCATCGGGTGACAGGAGCTTGATGACCTTGTTCTGTCCATCATGTCATGCCCCACGACCGTCGTACTCAATGCCCAGTGCCAAACATTCCTCAACGTCCTCCAGTACTTTCACGACAGAGTCTCTGGAACCACTTGGAACCTTAAACTCATTTAGGATCTGGTACACAGTGCCACAACGCTGATTCCATTCGCTGCGCTGTGGCGATCCCAGTGCATCTTGGAAGTATACACGCAATGCGGCGAGCGGTGGCAGACACGTTGGTGATTTCCCTTGTGGATTGATGACTGCGTCTGGCGTTGAGCCTCGGATGAGTGGTGGTGGGAACTTTAACTCGACGAGCCTTCGTAGAACCGCGTGATTTGGATTTCTTTGGCTCCGCCAGCTTGCATCCTCGTTTGCGCGGGCTCATTCGAGGTCTAGTACTGCTAGGAAGTATTCAAATTTCCCGCTTGTATTTTTTTAAATCGAGGTTGATAACCATTAATATTTTTATATTATTATCGCGAATTTGTATTCAAATTTAAGCTACATAGAAAAAACTTCAAAGGCTTCTTTCATAATCACTATTGATCGATATTACTAGCCGAACCCCTTACTCGGAGAACGGATGTCCCCTCTATTCATATGTACCTTCAGATTTCAAAACTTTTAACTGTAGCAATATTTATGGAAGAAACAATTGAAGCATTCCTTTCGCCCAAACGCTGTTGCGAATTTGCCATTCGCAGAACCCCTGAACCCCTCCCAAGAAGGTATCCAAGTGTTCGCTTAGGTTGGATATCCTCTGTGCGATCCTATTCGCTAGTTAGATTATTGGCTGTCCAGAAGCTGTCTGATTAGGTTAGGGTTAAGCCCCAGTGACTTTGGCCACTGGGGGGAATTCACTTTGTGATTTGCCTTTGGATCGGACTTCGCAAGGTACGTCAAGTTGAGACGCAACAAAGAATTCTTTAGTAGCAGCCTGCTACTTGCCGTACGAGTATGGAACAAGGAAGTCTGCCGTTTACGAGCAACCTGGCTCGTGTGACGCGAACGCGGTCTATGGGGACCGTGGTGGCCGTGCCATTGCCTCCGCCGAACCAAGTGGAGATGGACGAGCTGCGGATGCAAAGCGTGGAGCGAGCGATGACGTCAAGTCATTTCAATCAAATGACGTACGAACAGCTGGCGCAGTTCCATGCGCAGCAAGAAGCCATGGCGAAGCGGATGAAAGATTAGTCTTCCCGACAGTTTGCGATGGCGAAGGCGATGGAGAAGAATCGCCTGGAACAAGAAGAATCTCGAGCGATTCTTTTACGTCAACATGAAGAACTGGTTCGTCAGCAAAACGAACTTAAGCGAGCGATGGCCGAACAAGCCAGGGTCTCAGAAGCGCATCAAGAAATGCTCCGCCAGGCGTCGGACGCGATGCGCCAGCAGAACTACAAGGTATAAGAGCTGAATCAGAAGGTCCGACGGGATAGCGAGCGATGGGGATTATTCGCTGAAGCGACCAATCAACGATCGCCATTTCCGTCCGAACAAGCGGCGCCGACAAGCCGCATGGAGAACCTCATGGGTGTGCAACAGGTGCCGCTGGCGCCTATGTACAAGGGTAGCACGATGCGCAAGCGTCGTGAGTTCATGGACGAGTATCTAGCCTACTCGCGGCGCGTGGAAGTGCTAAACCGCGGCATGGGCGGTACCATGTTTTTGATACCGTTGGCGGCATGCATTGACCAGAAGATTGTGCCGCGTGTGGGCGCACATGATTTTGGAAAGTCGTTTGAAGAAATTACCGAAAACGACTGGCGCGATTACTTTTTATCGGCGCGTGAGGTCCAAGAGTTGGAGCTGGACTCGGTTGCGAAAGCGATGGCGTCGCTCAAGATGGACACGAAGATCCGTGACGCCGAGTCTCGAGTCGGTCGGCTGCTAGCCGATTTCTACGACAAGTTGGAGCAACTGGATGTGGCGCACTTGCCGGAGCAGGAACCGAAGCAGTCGGTCAAGATCCTCACGGCGGCGATTCGACCGTCGCAGTTGAAGGCAACTGTCGAGCGACAGTTGACGCGGGA